CTGAAAAAAAAAAACATGTATACTGATGTCAGCTGGAGTTTGGTACTATATACCTATCTGTCAATCTACGAAACTATCTGAAAATAATTTAGTTAACATAAGAACAAGAGATTAGATGGTTTGCCCATCCGACGAGAATGTTCTTGTACCGTAACAGAAAAGCACGCTAATATATATATATATATATATATATATATATATATATATATATATATATATATATATATATATATATATATATATATATATATGTGTGTGTGTGTGTGTGTGTATATGTGTGTGTGTGTGTGTGTGTGTGTATTCGGGCTGTACCGAATAGTGATTTTCACTATATACGAATAGCTGGACCACATATTCGGCCGAATACGAATAGTGCATCATCATCATCATCAGGTGCCTTGCTGACTGGCGTGGGTGATCATCCCTCGCTACTATCTGCGATCTCCTGCGGCATGTATTAGTTCGTGTGCCGACACACCTCCATGCCATGCAACAAGACTGTCAAGAATCTTCTCTTGTTGTCTTCCTCTATACCTCCTTCCACAGATCTTTCCAGTGGTCACCACATGTTCAATTTTACCTCTTCTCATAACATCTCTGAGACCTCAAGAAATTGTTTGGCCTGCCTACCGATTGTCTGGATTCAGGGCCATATGTTAAAACTGGATGTATGTAGCAAGCAAGAATTCTTTTTCTAACCTTCAATGACAAAGATATATTGCATAAGATGTTCTTCTTTTTATAAAATGCAGTTTCTGCCTGTCCTGTTGTATTTCTTATTTCAGTAATGCATCTTCCATCTGATCTTGTCCATGTGCCTAGATACTTAAATGTATGTACTTGTCCCAAAATAAGACCAATGACTTTTATTATACATTTAGCAATAATTCTTTTCTTTGATACCACCATTACTTCTGTCTTTCCACTATTCAAACTGAGGCCCATTCTTCCACTTTCGAATAGTGTATAGCGTATAAAATAGATCTAAAAACATTCATAATGTCAAATGTACGCTTAAATTTTACTTTAAAAAATGTAGTACAGAATAGTAAACATTTAAAAACATTTTATGTTTTGCATCCTTCAGTCAGTCAGTCTGGGGTAACTAATTCCTAGGAATGAAAGTATTCTTAGTTTTATAACAAGTAACTAAACTTGTAAATTGTCACTGACAGCTTAGTTAATGCATGAAAGCGACTTAGGCAACAGCAACTATCGCAGTGTATGTAGAAACGGATTTAAGGTAACCACTATTCGTATTCGGCCCGACAGCAAGTATTCGCCCGAATACCGAATAGTTATTAGGTCCACTATTCGGTTCCCCGAAGAGAATACGACTCGAATATTCGGTACAGCCCTAATATATATATATATATATATATATATATATATATATATATATATATATATATTATAAACACAGAACAATGGGATGACCACTCAAAACATAGAATTAAAGCATCAAGTCCATCAAGAACAGCCTTACTGAAAAAATAAAGACTAATTTTTGCAATGCGTCCGAAAGAGACACAGAAGATCCTTACATGTCCCTCAATATTTCGATGACGTCAGGGAAAGAATAGAAGAGATAGTTTGAACTTCACATTAATGATGTAAAGAAACTTGCTACTGTCTATTATCTTTATCTAAAAAGGCTGGCTTCTCGTTTTCTTATCGTTATGCTTTCAAAGGTTAATGCTCTGTGACGAAGTGTCTTCATCGGCAACCGGATCGCCTATTGGTTGACCAGTAGCCGACTTCGTCGTTGGCCGGGAAGACAGTATTTGGGTCCATCTCTTTTGATCGCATCAACACTTCAAGAGTCCTTTTCAGGACTACGTGGTCGCGAGAAATGTTGAGCAATTTTATACGGCTCAAATAACCTAGGTCACAATTACAACCAAAAGCTCCCCCATCGAGAGTGCTGGTTGAACGTGACGATCCCCCCCCCCCCTCTCTCTTTTCCCTTTCCGGGGCGAAAGGCGAAGTGTCTTGCGATCGAAGATCAGAGTCTTATTATGATTATGTTCTCTTTGTGTATGTGCCTCCCCCACCCACCCTAACTTTTAAGTGTCGGAATAGCTGGAGCTCAAACAATAGGTACCGTGACGTTTTAGGTGAAAAGGAAAGCGGCGCGATGATAAGTAAAGAAATACAAACACGAGTCTAACACAATAATCTCTGTATAGCTAATATAGTGGCTCTATGTCTTGTACATGTTACCACGCTTCGAATATTAACTGTCCAACATCACTTAATTATTGCAAGGTTCACAAGATGGCCCGGTCAATAAGTTCATGATAAGCGAGACACTGTGAGCTTTTTTAAGCGTCCACCGACTGTTAACTCCTGAGGAAAGTTTTGATTGTTTTTTCACATCTGTGCTTTGCTTTTTTTTCACAATTTGAGTTATCCTTGCACATCTATTCTACATATCTGATAATTTTATTTTAAGTATTTTAGTTAGTTGCCTCTCTTGTAGATACACTTTTGATCTGGAATGAAACACTCCTCATTTATCGTCTTATACGACATGCTTGTTAGGGTGCAGTAAGTTCCCCTTCACGAACCTCTCAAAACGAGGCTACTGAATCGACACGGGAAACTGCTTCTTAAAAGCACATTATTTATTACCGTAAAGCGAAAAAACATTTAAGTAAAAAAAAAAGTAAAGATCCCTTTTCACGCCTTTCGGCGTATCGGGCATATGGGCAGAGCGTCCCATATTTTTACAGACCATCAGCACTCGTTGGGTAATGTGGTCAGCATTACGCCGGCTGTAATAATAAAATGATATCTCATCACCGCCACATGTTTAATATTGTAACTGTTTCCTATAAATATGCCCAAAAAATAACATAACCGAACATCAACGCTTTCATAAACGATCACCAGATGGCCCCCAAAAAATGCAGGACACAACAATGGTAAAAAGAAACAGATCACAGGAATAGAAAAACCACCATTCTCCTACTCGTTCAGGGTGAACTCGAAGACCATAGTTGAAATCCCTTCACAATTGTATTCTTATAGACTTTGGTGGAGAAGCCAAATAAAGACCGGCATTCTAACCTATATGAGAATTATGTCCCCCTACTTCTGTTTATGTGTCGCCTGCGGATTGAAAGGTCTTGGGTTCGGTCCTGGCGGAGCCGGACATTTTCAGAAATTACATTGGTTCCTAGGTCGACGCAGCCTTGACTGCGTACGAGTGCAGTCCTGGGAAGTAAAGGCGACCGGCGTGGTGCTGACTATATAATCCACCGAGTCCCGATGGGTCTATAAAATATAGGTCTAGCCCTATATGCCCAATACGCCTGCGTAGAAAATAGTCGTTTTTTTTTTTTTTTTACTTTTTTACTTCTATTTTATCTACGACTAACCAGAGATCGCTCTGCTCAACCATCTCTAAATTTGCATTTGGCACCTTTAAGTTTACCTGCCTTTCTGTTTGTTACTTTTTCTGTATGAGTATATGGCTGAATAAATGTGTTTCTGGCTGTATGTCTGTGTGTGTCTATCTGTCTATCCACTTATTTATCCAGCAACCCATCAATTCCCCCATCCCTTCGTCTGTCTGTCTATTTGTCTGTCTGTGTCTTTTCACCTTTCTACTTCCTATACTTGTATAAGGCGTCTGTGGCTCAAGCGTTGCGAATGCGCTTCGTAATGCCACGGTGCCGAGTTCGATCCCTGCTGCGGACTGTTTGGCGTTGGTTTCGACAGTGGGACCCAGAGCTGACCGTTTAGTGGCGATAGTAAACTACAGGACGTAACATTAGCTTGGAAAGATTAGAGAAGCCAAAATCTGCTGGTGTTGGTTCTGCAACGTCCTGTAAAGGATACGCAGCTAACTTATATCTACCTATATATCTGGTCATATTACTATTCTTACGCACATTATTATATATAGCTCGTACTATTCACTTCTTGTACGTGTTTTAGCACTATTTATACCTGATAACACCCAAAACTCCAGTACATTATTTAACACAAACAACATATAACAGTATACCCACTACAATTCAGTTAGTCCAGACACAAATAATATTAACGCCGCATAAGTCGAAAGACCAGCTGCCTCACATCAAATGCTAGACTGTTTTAGTGGACCATGACATTAACAGACAAATCTATGTCGGATACACATTAGACCAACTGTTGATGCGCCGACTTATTATGACGTTATACTTTGGCTTTTCACAAAATCCAAGTCTGATCTACTGTAATTCTAATGAGCTCAACCAAATAAAAATAAAAACTTTCTGCTTAGGCCACTCATCTGAAATCTATAAAAATTCGAAGACCTGGCAAAATCCCATTCTTTTCACAGGACTTATTTCCAACGTTGCTCTTCTTATTCGGTCATCTTCTGTAATATTCCATCTTCTTCGGTCTTCTTCCGTCTTCGGCGTCCTCCGCCTTCTTCCTCCTTCCTTCTTCTTCTTCTTCCTCTTCTTCCTCTTCTTTTTCTTCTTCTGCTTCTTCTGTTTCTTTATCTTTTTCTTCTTCTTCTTCTTCTTCTTCTTCTTCTTCTTCTTCTTCTTCTTCTTCTTCTTCTTCTTTTTCTTTTTCTTTTTCTTTTTCTTTTTCTTCTTCTTCTTCTTCTGTCTTTCTTCTTATTATTCATTCTTCTTCTTCTTCTTATTATTCTTCTTCTTAATTCTTCTTCTTTTTCTTCTTCTTCTTCTTCTTCTTCTTTCTAATTCTTCTTCTTCTTCTACTTCTTTCTTCTTCTTCTTCTTCTTCTTCTTCTTCTTCTTCTTCTTCTTTTTTTTCTTTTTTCTTTTTCCTTTTTCTACTTTTTATTTTTCTTTTTCTTTTTATTTTCTTCCTATCCTCTATTTCTTCTTACCTCTTATTCCTCTTCTCTTCTTCTTCTTCTTCTTCTTCTTCTTCTTCTTCGTCTTCTTTCTTATTCTTCTCTTGATCTTCTTCTTCTTCTTCTTCTGTTTCTTTATCTTCTTCTTTTTCTGTTTCTTTATCTTCTTCTTATTCTT